TTTGACAATTTTGAGAAATCCTCTTGATTAGAGACGCGGTCGCATATACACGCGATACTTATTGCTCGACACAGCAAACACGTTGGTATGCCAGCGTACGTTTCCAACGCCATTTTCAGATCTTATCAACCTAAAAAATCGCCTACACCGAGCTGCAGCAGATCGGGTTGGCGTTCCCGCAGGAGCATCACAACGGCGGGGGCCCCGGGGGGACACCAACACCACGTGATCGCCACTGCCGCTGCAACGGCCCAGGCTAGGATGCAGGCCGAGCAGGGCAGCATCGGTGAGCTGCGTGGATATCACAACCTGCGATCCCGCAGGCACACCTTGGCCAACGTTCGGTGAGTGTTATCGATTTTAATCACTGAGATGAACGCGCGAGCGGAATGCCGATCGATACTCGACAGATTGTTCAAGAGATATCGGCATGGACGTCCGAAAGATATATTCAGTCTTTTAGACATCTCTTGGACAAATTGAGACTTCTGATCTGATCTGATTCTTTCTGTTATCAATTGATGAAAATGATTTCCTAAATGATCTCTTCGTAATGTCTTCATGATGTCTTCATGACTTCTTCATAGGACTTCTTCATGATCAATGAAGAAATGCACATGATTACGAACGACGATCTTAATTCTCTTGTCTCATGTGTAAAAATATGATGATTCGTCTATCGATGTGCAAATCGTTGAATTGTGGAGAGGAACTTTAAACTATCTCTTAAAGTACTCTTATAAAGATTATTATAAAACATTTATATTTCGCGAACTGACTATCTATTTTGAATCTAATTGATACATTTAATATATCACATGAATGCAAAAGAGATCTGAGAATATGAATGTAATATATTTAATTTTATCGTTGCAATATGCTCTGTAATGAATGAATTAATAATATAGAAGCATTTGGAATTGATCACATATATATTTCATCATTGTAAAGATTCATCGAGATTATTATCGAGAATTATATATATATTACGTATGATTTTTTTGCTCACGTCTTTTCTACTCTTCCATTTTTTCCTACCGTTGTCTCAACCAGAAATTTAACACGGAAAAAAATTCGTTAATCACATAAACTCTGATTAAATTCTATGAGAAGCATTTTTCACATTTTATTTATGATTACACTGCCAGTCATCACTTTTTTAATCTTTTTATCTTATCATTTCATCATCGTTACAATAGCACAATTTATAGCATTACAGCATTCATTTTAATTGCGTACACTTTTTATCATTTTAAGCTTAACCATTTTAATCTTGTTAAATATATAAAATTATCAGCAGTAAATTTCACAGTATCACGATATCGACTCGAAGTTATTTTATTAAACAAATTGTATATATTATTATTATTATAATATGAACCGAATTAAATAATGATAATTAATCCGCACAATAACAATTTCCTTTTCTAATCGGCTCTACGCCAGTTCTCTCCAGTTTGAAACAAATGCAACTCGGAGATAACGGCTCCACGCACAATTTTTCTTCCAGAATTGATTGTAAATCGTCCTTCTTCCTCTGCTCGGGGAGATTAATTTTTCGCTTAGATATTTTGACCAGGCAAGCCTGATCCTTCTTCTCGATCGTTCTCTTCCGCGATACGACGCGGTACGATTTCCCGATCGATGACGCACGTAGGTCGTAGCTCTCCTGACCGCGCGAAATTTTCCCGATGATCTTTTCGACGTGACGTTCTCTCTCGCGCGGTCTCATCCCGTCCTGAATTTTCGCTCTGCAATCGGGGCACAATCTGTCATGCGGTATCGGGCGATCGACTTTAGGGTGAATAAATATACGCCTGAGTGCGGCCGCCGTCGGTGGAGCCGCCGTTGCAGTTTTCGCATCAATCTGCGGTTGAACTTCTAATCTGGGTTCCGTCGACGGGGCCGGGGTCGGTGCTCTACCGCACGAGCAACAGTTGCAAACAACCGTCCTGGCCATTTCCTCGGACTTCCCGCCATAATTGATCGTCCTGATCTCACGTTCTGCGTCCGGTCGCGTTAGCCCGGCGGCGATCTTTTATAGATCGTAAAAGTTTCATCCGTGGGCACTCTCGCGCGTTCTCTTTCATCTCTTACAACTCGGTCGTGGCTAACGTGGCCCGTTTTATCCTGTGTCTGTGATCCGACGCCGACGGTCGTGACGGTCGATTGGTCCTTTGAGCGTTTGCGCCAGAGCATTTTTCGGCCGGTTATTTCAGAACGGTCGCCGGAGATTTCGGCGCTCGATACTTTTAGCTCGGCTGGTTTTAAATGTTTACTAATAATTTGTATTGGCGACGTACGAGGCAGCGGCTCGGCGGTCGTAACTGTCTGCGTGGTTATTTGCACAACCTCAGTTTTGGCGATCTCGGCGGTTTGCACCATTTCGGTTTGCACGACCTCGGCCTGCACGGCCTCGGCCTGTACGACTTCGGTTTGCCTGATTTCGGCTTGAACGACGTCAGTTTGCGTCTGAATCTCGAACGGCTTTGCGATTCTCTCGACCGGAGGCTGCTACAAGTGAAGAAAACACCGTTTAGAAACTTAGAAGCTCGGCTGCTCGCTACTATTAATACAGGATAAGCTAAAACTATAAGTATCTTAGAGCGTTCTATAGATACATATATATATATATATATCGAAAGTGTTATATTATTAATTTCCAGGAAAGGATTAATATTACTGCATCGAGAAATGATTAAAAGGAGCATTAATAAAATGGATAAATTTGGCTAACCGAATAACATCCACAGGGTGGCTTTGCGGGTATGATCTGCAAAAATTCTTTTTCTTTGATTTTCGCTATGATTAGATATGGCTGTGCCACTAATCGTTGCTCGATCGGTATCGCTGGCATTTCCATTTCGGTCGATTTTATCTCAGCTATTGGAATTTTTAATTCTATCTGGACGACTTCTGGCTTTTTCTCTTCTACTAATACTTCTTTTTTGCTTTCTACCGTTGGTTCTTTGGGCAGTAATACTTTTGCCAATATTTCTTCCTTTTCTATTAGATGCACTTCTTCCTTTTCCTTCTTTTTAAAAAACTCAATAGATGGTGTAACTTCTTCCGGTGTTTCTTCGATTTTATCGTTTTTCTTTTTTTAATTTCTGCTTCGAGCATAAATTGTTCCTCCACTTCGATTCCCTCCAGTTTTCTTTTTATTATTGATGCCTTTAATATTGGCTGAACCATTTCAATTTTTTCTTCTATCACATCCTTAAGTGGCAATACTTTTTCTACTTCAATTTCTCTTTCCATTATATCTATAGTTGGTGGCAATTCTGCGACTTTAATTTTTTCTTCTTCTGTTACGTCCAATGTAATCGGAGGTAATTTTGTGATTTCAACTTCTTTTTCTTCTATTATATCTATTGGTAACAATTTCGCAACTTCATCTTTTTCTTCTTCTTTTATATCCGTAATTAGTTCCATAACTTGAATTTTTTCTTTTTCTGGTATGTCCGCAATTGTTGGTAATTCTGTAACCTCAATTTTTTCTTTTTTTCTACATCTTCAATTGGTAATAATTCTGTAATTTTAATTGTTTCATCTATAAATGGTGGTAATTTTGCAATTTCAATCTCTTCTTTTATTGGTGGTTTTTCGATTTCAATTTTTTCTTCTATTACTTCTATTTCCAAAAACGGTGGTTCTTCTTTTTCATCTAGAGTAGGTATAGGTTCTTCAATTTTGATCTCTTCTTCTACTTCTGCAATTGGAACTTTTTCAACATCTACAATAAGAAGTTCATCAGGTTTGGCTTTTTCTATCTCATTTATGGTTGGTAAAATTGTTGGCTTAACTTCTTTTATTTTAATTACATCCACTGCTAATATTTCTTCTTCTATTTCTGCAACTTTTTCTATTTCTGCAATTTTTTCTATTTCTGCAACTTTCTCTATTTCTGCAACTTTCTCTATTTCTGCAATTTTCTCTATTTCTGCAACTTTCTCTATTTCTGCAATTTTCTCTATTTCTGCAACTTTCTCTATTTCTACAATCTCTTCTGCAATCTCTTCTTTTTCCTCAATTTCTGCCACTAGTAATTCTTTATCTACTTTTTCGTCTTCTACTATTTTTTCTTCTTTTTCAATTTCTACATCTTCTTCTTTTTTTCCGTTTTCTTCTATATGATCAGATATAACGTCTTCTTTCTCCACTTTTTCAACAACTATTTCCTCTTTTGTAGGTATTTCCTCTTTTATAGGGGTAGGCAATAATTCTGCTTCAATTATTGCTTCCACTGGAGCTTTTACGTCTACCGGTGTTTCTTCAAGAGGAAATGGTTTGATTTCATTTTTTGTCGGCTCCATTTCTTTATCCTTTAAAATTATTAATTCGTCTTGTAATTTAGTTTCATTTATTACGATTTCATTATTTTTTTTCGTTTTTATTTCATTCTTCTCAATCACTTTCCCTTGCTTACCTTCAATGGCTCCATTTCTTCTTTCACTTCTTTTGGTTTTATCTGAATAAAATAATTAATAATTTATAATAAAAATGTATTTTAATTTGAAGAATATAATCAATTAAATTAAAAACATTTAAAACAATTTTTTTTAATTATTATCGAATGATGAAAATTAAAATATGTATTTTATGTAAAGTTTATATTACGTTATTATCCTTTATGTATAAAAGAATCGCAATATTTAATTGATCTCTTACCCCGACATATATACTAATTTCTTCTGCCAAGATATCAGCATCTTTTTTAACTGTGTGACAATCAGGATGTTTCTAAACATACAACAGAAATGCATTAATATTAAAATAAATAAATGCATCTATTATACTAAGCTACATAATATTACATTTAAAATTCTTCTAGGAATATTATAATATCAGCTAAAATTATATTAGTATAGTTTCTGTATATTTATATAATTGCAATATATTCTTTTTATTTTAATCGTAATGATGTACCGCTGCTGTCGCGCGAATTGTATCGATCCTATTGATCCACGATAAAATCGTATCGCGATCTATCATGACGCCTCGGTCAGCTTCAATCTTTTTTATTTCCTCCGCTCTAACGTCATCCGCAGCTTCTTCGCAGATTATCGTTACAGGCACATCCAGAATTGCATCCCGTTTTTCTACTTCCACGCCTAACGCAATCAGTTCCTCGTCCGTCATGCCGGTAGGTGACGGCACCACGCCGTTGCATATGAAATCAGGCGGGCACGGTACACCGTCGTCCTCGTACAACTCCTCTAACGAGCCTAACTGAGCCAAGTATTCTCGAACTTCTTTAAATCTCTGTTCCTCGTAAGCAAAGTCCTCCGGTCGAATTATGATTTCCGCGTCCTCGATTCGCACGAGATCCGCCGGGCGATCGACAGCGCGATCCACCAAATCTGGTTTAACCGAGACGATCTTGTCGTCCACAGCCAAAGCGACTTCTGCGTCGACGTCAGTTACGACGACTCTCGCCAGTGCTTCTCTGTCTTCAACTTCGACCCTCGCTAACGCTTCCACGTCCGCGACTTCCACCTTCGCCAATATCTTCTCGTCGAAAACTTCGACCTTCGCCAAAACCTCGTCGTCCTTCACCATGGCCACGTCGTCCACCCTGCCGATGGGCCGATGGACGACTTTAGCCTTCACGGCGACTTCCTTATCTGCCACCCTCGCAATGTCGTCATCGCGACCTATCGTGGCCTCGACTTTCTCGATACTCAGAAACTTCTCCAGCTCCGCCCTGCACGCGGCCAGCCTCGTCCGACATTTCTCCAGCGCGTCTTCCAGCTCGCATACGCGATTTGCCAGTTGTTGATTGGCCGCAATTTTCATATCTAATTGTTCCCGCAGTCCGTTCGTCACGCAAACCGTATCACCCTCCATCTTTGACCACAGCTCGTCGGCTTGCTGAAGCGTTTTCATGTAAGCCTCCTCGCGGCGTTCCAGCTCGGCAATTTCTCGCTTCATAATCACCTCCTGCTCCGCTAATCGCTGCAGCTTTTCCAGGCACTGAATGTCCTCGGGCTCGACGGACGTCACACTGAAGATTTTGCGGGGGTGTTTCCGCTTGCATCGCGTGTCACCGCACTGGCAGGATTCGTCCACTTCCACCATCGCCCTCTTTTCCATCGCCTCCCGCAGCTCTCTGGCCTCCTGGTTTACCCGTTCCAGAGCATTCTTTTGCTCCTCCTGAACTCTCCTGGCTTCATCGAGCTTTCTCTTTCTCCCTTCCAACGTCGCAAGTTTCTCCGACCAGAGAGCCCGCGCCTCTTCCACCTTCCTCAACGCCAGCTTCCGTTCGGCCTCGGCCTCTCGCACCCTGCAATCGTAATGGCAGCTCGGTGTACTGCGACAAGAAAGTTCTCTTACATCTTTAAATTGTTTCTCCAGAATACGTTTCATCCTGCAGACGGGCGCGCCCTGTGACATTCTCCAGATATTCCATACCATCACCGCCGGCATCGAGCACTCCAGCATGTCCAATCGTTGTCGCAGATCTCCCTCCACCTTCTCCAATTCCTCTCTCTTTTGCTCTCTTTCGTCAATTATATCGCAAAGAGGATATTGACGTCGACGTCTATCGATTGTCGCCGTATCGCCAGTCTTTCCGTCATTTTTTTTAATCCCGCGTTTTGGTCCCACGTCGGTCAAGGATTCCTCCGACACGAGCGACTGCGTCTCGTTAAGCGTCTTGTGATCGGCAATAGTTATTTTCGTAGCCATATCGTCCTTACGGATTCTCGCACTGATCTATCACTTTTCTCAGTGTCATCGACTCGCTTAAAATAGGATTCTGACACGGTCGACTCCTTTAATATTCCATTATTCCGCTTTATTGCGCCTTTTCGAAAAGAATTCGTTTCTTTTGTCAGAGATTTTTTTTCTCCCTCTTCTGACGCGAGTTCGATTATAAAAATCTTTGATTCCGCGAGAGAACGACGTTCCGCTTCCGTCACATTTTTTTGATCGGCAGCACGCTTCGACAGATCTCTATCAGAATTACTTTCGTTATTCATGCGATTCACGCTTCTTGATTCGTCTGACTAAAGATTTAACATGACATCCTCGAAAATTTTTGAATGCGCTACGAATTTAATTTGCCCGTGTCAAAACGTTGGTTAATTCATTTGTCATAATGTTTTCCAGGCATTATAACCTATTGCTGTAAATAAGGCGTAACTGAAAATTGCAATTATAAAACTTATATTTGCAATTATAAAATATACAACTGTAGAATATTTGGAATATTCCGTGAGAGAGATTTCTAGAGATGTAATTTAACTCGAGGCGGTTGTAAAATAGCTTTCCCGCTTTTTGCGGTTATTTCCATCAATTTGGAGATTGCGTTAAAAATATATATATTAATGTGCGTTAAAGGATTTAGTAGGACTTCTAACCCGTTTACCTGGCCAATTATTCTCTCTCCCTCCCCCTTGCGTCATCAAACGCATACATTATCTTCGTGACCATTAAATCATGTCTCGCTGGTTGATATACGGGATACGCCTAGCACTCCGTCGTTCGTTGCGCGAACGCACGCGTTAGATTTTTTTTGGACGAAAACGCACCATCAATTTTGGACAGATTCCAACGCGAGCAGATTCTGTCGGCAGATTGCCGCGAATCATTCATGAGATTTGTCATAGCATGCGATTACAGCTTTCGATATCCTCTCTGTCTATATATTGCGGTTCTCAATATGAACGTGTCTGTATATTCGCTGTACATCCTTGTCATCGGTACACCGATCACGATCGCTTTACTTTATTAACGTCCTCCATTTTAAAATGAAATATAATCTCAACAAATTTTTCATGCTCTATGATATAAAATTTATCTTGCGACGAAGTATTTTATTATTGAATGAGATATTTAATTCATGTGTGTGTGTGTGTATTAATAAAAAAAATACATTCTAAAAGTTTATTTCCATTGACACAAGACTTTTATTGTTTATTGTTATAGTTGGGGAACTAAGAATTATAATGTATGTTAGTATAATTTGACGATTAAAAATGGTACTGTTTTTATGTTCGCGTTTATAAAAAATTTAATGTATTTTATCTTAAAAACTTAATATATTTTTATTTTAAAAATAAAATAACATTAAATTTTTGATAAATGTGAACATAAAACAGTATCATTCTTAATCAGATTATACCAACATGTATTATAATTCTCAACTATCCCCAACTATAATAATAAACGATATGACTTGTGACAATGGAAATGAACTGTTGCATTTTAGAATTTTATTTTTCTATTGACAAATACAATTTAAATGCAGCGCCACTTGATTTATTTAACTATAAAATTAAATGTAAAGAAAACAGAAAAAAATATTTTTTTATTTACCACTGTGACCTTGGCTCTGTAATTATTACATAAGTTGCTAGCAATATGAGCAGTGTCAAATGATATGCGCCAAATGATGGAGATGACAAAGATGCGCAGCAACGTTGCTGAGCGTTTTGATGTTCAAGATTCATTGAAAGCTTGTATAAAAGCAATACGGTATTCAGCAAGCTATTTTCGCAATGCTCTTATACGTGTCAACCTCGGGTATCTTTATTCATGCAAGACACCGCAGTAAGAAATCGTTACGGAGATACGTCGGGATGTGTTTAATATTTGATGCTAAAACTTCGTTACAGAAACCGAACTAGTGTATCTATAAATTATAATATATCAAAGAAATTTGACAAGATGTGTATGTACGGTACGAGCTAGATCGCTGTATCGAAAATTACATATTCGTCAGTCGGTTCACTGTGTGACCTTATCACCTTAATTTGAGGACCGACAGTTTTCATATTTAATCAAATTGTAAAATGAGTTTGACGAAGCGTGAAATTTATAAAGATAAAAAACGAATTTGAAACGATTTATGAATAAATTGAAAATTTTTAAGTTTTATAATGCCCCAATTTAACTTGTTTATCCAATGATAAATGGATTGTCAAGACAAAACTAGACTTTTCATATTAAAACGCGTCTTAAATTTTTAGAGGGTCATCAAGATTTCCTATTGATTTGGAAAGAGAGAGAGAGAGAGAGAGAGAGGTTTTCTATTAATTAATAGTTTTTAACGATAGTTTTAAGAATTGAATCTTCACAATTTAATAAATGTTTTAATGTTTTAATAATTAATGTTTTGAAATGTTAATTAATTTTTTAATGATTGTATATTTAATCAAAGTGTTTAATAGATGTGTTGTATAATGTAATAAATATTTTTTTTAAAGGCATAAGCTAACATATACATATATATATATATGTATATGTATTAATAGAATATACAACAAAGTGTAGGAATAATGGAAAATAATTATATTATTTAAATAAATAGCAATCTGAAATTTTCTCATTAACTAACATGGCTGTTGTGTTTGTCAGTATTCTTGCTAATGCGATAAGTGATTCAGGACAAATTTTAACGTGACAAACGTCACGTTTAACGTGCAAAGGCTGCAATTACAATTCACGATGACATATATAAAAAGAGATATCGAACCGGTGGCGACCTTTGCTTAACACTAGAAATTACTTATCTTCGTTGAATAAGATTCGAGCGATATATTGACCTTTTTAGTACATATCGATTTTTATCCCGTTTTTACAAGAATGGTGCAGGGCAGTGTGCGTTCAAGGATATCCCTGAATATAAATCCGGAAAAGACTACATACACCCCTAGGCTCCATCTATTAGGTAAAAACTTACCTGAATGGAGGAGTTGATCTGACCTATCCTCGATTTTCTCTAATCGTCACACAAATACAAATATACACATTCTCTCTCTTTCTTCCTCTCCCTATCTCTTTCTCGCTATCTCATTCACTCTTTCCGACCTCCTCCATGCCCCTCACAAAATCAATAGTGTCGGTGTACCAAGTTTACCCTATCCTACGAGGTCACGTTGGAGACCCAAAATTTGCCACGCGATCGAAATCCGCAGATGGAAGGAAACGGAGCCGTTCTCCGTTCACTCGTGGAAATCCCCTCGTGGATTTTTGGACTCGATAAGATCTTCCCGGGAGACCAATCGAACAATGTAATTTCTCCCGAATAAACGGGAAGAGTTCCAATTGATTTCGAAGTTTGGGAACCGTGCTTTTTCAATTTAAAGAAAAGTTTTCGCGCACTAATCGCCGCGCGGCACGCTCGGTGCCAAAGGAACTTTACAAACTGCGTTAAGAGTTCATTGAAACTTCACCGAACTGCGTAGAATATCCGTAGAATATCCCGAGAATATACTTTTGAATTATGCTCGCCTCGCCGCAGGAAGTACCGATGACTTTCAATAATTCTAACAAACAGAATTTAAGTACACAGATTTAGCCGTAAGTTATGTACTTGACTTTAATTAAAACTTTAATTGTGCAGCAGTTACATATTTGCATCTAACAATATTATAAAAGTAACGGAAGTATTTGTCTGTGTTGTTGGATGATTATACAAGGGTGTTTTATACCGTCTTACAATATTTTGATAACGTATTGTAGGAAATTTTTAATGTGCTTTTATAATTAAAAATATAATTAAATATATAACTTAAACGTTTACTCTGGTAACTCAAAAAAAATTGAAGAGGCTTATGAACAAGTCTCTGCTAAAATTTTTTTCAATTAAAATAAAAAACAAACGTTTCATTCTAAATCAAACCATCTTCAATGTCGATAACTATTTGAAACAATCTTTGAAAATTCTTTACAAATTAATATCACTTGCTGGTAAAAATTTATGATTAAAGGATGAAAAATATAAATCCATATTGTAAAAAATGTATCTATATAAAATATTATCCGTATCAAATCCAGAATATACGTCGAAGTGATTAATTGAAACATATATATATTAAAAAAAATATTGAATGCAGTAAAATCATATTGAAAATTAATCCAATTATTTTTATAAACTTTAAATAGCAAAGAACAATACAAGTTATATAAATTAAATTGTATTATATTACAAGTTATATAAATTAAAAATGAACAAATATTTTGAAAAATATCTGAAAAATAATGACAGTTTCCCATTACCAGAAAGTACCAAATATTATTGTTTGTCAAATGAATTGTTCGACAATAATGAACAAAGAAAGGAAATCAGGGAAAGTAGGCACGAAAAATAACAATGGAAGACAAATGGTAAAGCAAAAATTAGAAGGAGATAATAAATTGAGGATAGAAAGATATGTCTTTGAAAACAATTCTGTGTCACATTGTTAATTACTATATTATTTTTTTTTATATATACTTGTATTACATTCAATATAATATTTTTTAATGCATATTTCACCATCTTGATATATACTTTGAAACTAGAAACTGTCCTTGAAACTATCCTTTTATGTATTTGACAACATACAACTGATTTATATTCTTTACTCTTTAACTACAAATGTTCTCCAGCGGGAGAAAATGTAAATGTAAATGTAAATTTAAAAAGAACTTTCAAAGATTGTAAAACAGTTTTATCAAGACTGAAGAATATGAATCCTGATTTAGATCGAAATATTTGTTTTTTATTTGAAAAATACATCTCTTAGCATTTAGCTTGTGCTTATAAGTTGCTTTACTTGTTTATTGATTTTTAATCTGCTAAACCCGTCAATTTTATTTTTAATTTTATAACTTAATATATCTGGAAAGCTCATTTTATGATATTCTTGTTGTGCACGCTATTTATATGCATTTATTCTTTTTTCCGATAGAAATTTTAT